TACTAGAAGCAATGCCAGGAGCCCCTAGTAGCGTCCTTGCTCCTAGTCTCCGAAAGTGCCTACATTATTCACTTGTGAACAACTTCTTGGCTCGAACTGCCACTGCTACTGCGATACACAGTGCTCACCACATGCCACCACAGCGGCTGGCACAGGTGACACTCCCCAATGCCCGAGGCCTCTTCGACAAGGCCTTTACAGCCTCTGAGATCGAGCGAGAGAAGAAGAAGTGTTTCCCCAGCTGAGTGATTCCGTAGCTCATTTGTGGTCCAATTGTGGCTCTGAGGATGTGGGTATGACCCGGGTTTGTGTTTTTCGTGCTGATAGACCAGGTGGGTGTGACATCTTGGGAGAACTCTGGGCACAGACAACGTGCTTGTGTCTTGACCGAGAAACACACCTGCCGTCGAGCTTGCCCCTGTGTAGGAACATCCACAGCTACCGGCCGAAAAAGGCTGGATCTGGGTCCAAATGTACAGTGCGCGGAGTCCAGTAGAAAAGTTGCTAGGGAAGCAGAGGGGGCCTGGGCCGCCCGCACCCTTGGCTGCAGAAATACCATCCAACCCATGGGGAAAACTTTGTGTAGATGAACGGATATGGGGATTTCTGACGAGTGAGGTGCTGTTGTAGCACTCCTTCCACTTGAGTCGGTGGTGAAATTTCTGCCCATTTTGGTGAGAGGAAGGGACTGATCACTTACAAGTCCAACTTTTCCAACCCCGCCCTCCAGAGCCTGATTTGCTTGAAGCAATTGAATGTGTTCATATCTGTGAAGTGTCCTTCCAAAGATCATGACCACTTGCCCCAAACCTGGTCAGATTCCGATCCACCCGCCGCTCTTCGTTCCGCTGCTCTCGGTGTCCAGAACGGGGAACTCCGGCGACGGACCGCCCCGCGCGCCGGGTCGCGCGACCGCGGCCGGGCGCGATGGGGTGCAGCAGCTCCTCCGCGACGATCCCGGAGGCGAACGTGCAGAAGCAGCGGCGGCGGCTGAGTGTGGGGAATGTGGACACGTCGGAGGTCCATGAGGCCGACGAGCGCGCCACACAGGAAGACCGGGGTGCCTTGGTTTTTCGGGATGGGATCGGCTGGAGACAAACGCAGGCCTCTAGGAATTTACCTGGGCGAGCTGCTAGGAACTTGGGAAGTATGGGGAAAGGCTGTTGTTTGGGAGTGTTTGTCCCAAAATGGCCACCGTAGCTACTGTGGGGACTAGTTCCCGAGCTGTGCAGCCTGACCAGTTGCGTTCAGCGCTCGTCTAGTTTGAAACAGGAAGTACAATGCAGGACCTAGCGCATCAAGTGGAACCAAGGTTGCCAAATATTTCTTTTGGCCTGGGGGCCTACGAGTGTTCATTTGAGGTGTCTTGTTGCAGTTTCTGGAACATGTTGGCCCCGGCCCCGCTTGAGTGCAGATGCTACTCACTGAGGGCTCATCGCTCAATTCAACCAAAAGAACCTTTTGGATATGCTCCTTGGGCCTGATGCAAGCTTGGGCATTGACCGTGTTGCTTTCGATTGCGCATCGCAACCATTCACTTCCAGCTGCTTTCACTCTCCAGTGGTAAGCTTGCTTCACATTGCCTGAACAACATCCTGTTTGTACTCTTTTCACGCATACGGTCTTGGATGGCTGGCCGTCTACCCACCTATTGTATCCGCCCCGAACAAGAGTTTCCACACTCTCTGTCATTGGAAGTGGAAAGTTACTGATCTCTTTGGGGCTCTAGGCCTCCAGGTCTCTAGGGCTCTTCTCCAATCAGCTCCCAGGTGTTGTCGGGTGAGCTCTAACCTTGGCGCGCTTTCGTGCCTTCTCCTCATAGTCCCGGCTTTCTCTGCCATCACCTCCCCTCCCGTCTTGCATCAATTCGTTCTTGTACACAGATGGGTCTAACTTGGAGGTGCTGAGGGAGGTGTGAGTTCCCCCACTTTCCTAACTTTCACCCACTTGCCACTCAACATTCCGAAACCATCTCTGGGTCCTTCGTCGCTCGCTCGCTTTCCACTCTCTCTCTCTCTCCTTTCGGACGGACGTCGCGTCGCCTCGTTCGCGCTCGTTCGCGCTCGCCGCGGGGGGGTCGGTCGCGTCTCGAGGATCCAAAGAGATGGGCAGCAAAAAGGTCGGCGGAACTCAGCCATTTGCAGTTCCACCGATCAGAACCCCACCTCCTTCGCCAACAAAACCATGCGCCTTGGGCCGTAAGAGAGTCTTTGGTCTTTTTTCCAACACGGCAGACTGGTGTTCTTCTTTGTGGAACGGGGTGTGTGCTGAGGTGGGACATCAAATGTGGGGACAAAACAAAGAGCAGGGGCATTGTGAATTGCATGATGAATGACGGCTGGAGGATCATTTGAACAGGGACGGGCTTCCAACTGGGATGGCCAGTAAGCTACCTGAATTCTACCTTCCACCGGTACACGGTCTTCTCCATGCAGTTTTGCAGATCGTCTGAGCCGAACCCCTGAGTTGGCACAGGAGTTGGCTTCGAGCAACATGCTGTAGCAATCCGAAAATGACCTTGAAAAACATCCAACATCATCCAACGAATTCACACCCAAATTCAACGGTTGCTGCACCGGATTCCTTTTGGTCACCCGAGCCGAGGCAGCAATACGGCGACGAACTCCAAGCCGCGCAGCATGGCCTCGGCTACACCTGCCGGAAAGGCTTGAAGCCGGTGGCTCGGACGGAGGTGGACTTTGGGGTCTGCAAAAATAAGAGGTGATTCAATCAAAACCTCAATTGAGGTCTTGGTGCAAAAGAGACCTCAATTCTCAATCAAAATAAGACCTCAATTGCTGATTCATCCCCCCCTCCCCGATCAATTGAGGTCTTGCGATACTTCCCCCTTAAGGACCCTGATATAGACAGGTCCAATTCTGGTGCGTGCCTTTGAGTGCCTGAAACATGCATTTTCTGAGGAAAGTCCGAACCAAGACTCTTGGTGCATGCTGAAGACCGAAGACTTTTCCATCTACGGGGTCTTTGATGGACATGGCCAGAAGGGTCACGATGTGTCGAACTTCGTCAAGGCGCCCTTCGTCAAGCCAGGGCGGCTTTCGGCTTGTTGGGACTGTGCCGAAAGCGGAGGCTTTGTCGAAAGCGGGGTGTGATGGCGTAAGTATCCTTTTTTTACATCACAAGTCACCGAGCGGTGAGCAGTGAGGAGCAGTGTTTCAGGCTTGCCGACATAGAGGTGTCGTGCAGGGTAACCAAGATACAACGAACCTGAGGAACGACCTGGCTTCTAGGTTGGAGGCCATCGCTTCTAGGTTGGAGGCCAATGATAATTACGATTACATAATGATTACATTATGGTTAAGTTACTATATAATGATTATAACTATGATATCGCTACAATATATCCCACTCACATCTGCGTGGGCCTTTTGAGCTTCGTGCAGGACGTGCTGCCGAAGCTCATCGTCTCAGACCCACGGGCTGCCAGCAGTGACCAGTGGTCCGCCATTTTGACGGACTGCTTCCGGAAGACCCAGAGTATGGCCGCTTTGGTCCTGGTTGGGCGTGGTGGTTTGGTGTGTACCGGTGGCAGGAAGGAGCAATCACTGTAGAAGGGACCTGGACTGCAGCTGGTGTTGAAGGAAGGATACCCCAGGAATTCCTCTACTTCCCTCAACAGTAGTGAGGCCATCTCACAGACATCCAAAATGTTTTGCTGACGGGTGCATTCATGATGGTGATTCAGAGCAGCCCCAAGTTGCAGGATGTTCGAAGTCTGCTATAGATGTCGATGGTGGGTGTGCATCCCTTGGTTGTTATGAACCTCAATAGGGACGGTTGCGAGAATGCAGAGGAGAATCTCCTTGTTTGTATTTCTGTAGCAGGTTGGCTATCATGGAGACCATCACAGGTCAATGTTTCCTTCCAAGAGAGGTAGTCGAGCCACAACATGGCTGGCTGGCCATGATATTTTTCTCATCTCCTTCACTCCGTTCCTGGAGTTCGCATGATCTACAGGACCTTCGCCCGTTTTCCCCGCGGTGCTCACGCAGCAGTGATCAGGTGAACACCTCTGACAAGATGAAGCAGTTGTCGCGCGGCGCTGTTTTCAGCGGGGTGGTCATCCAGTCGGGAATCGGCGTGAAACACCGGTGACTGGAGCGGTGAAGGGTATGACTGGAGCGGTGGTACAGCCAGAAGTGCATCGCTACTAATAGCTTCTAGCTACTAGTAGTAAGGCACCTTGCTAGTAGGCGATGCCCCAGCTACTAGTAGCTAGTTTGCTCCCAAGGAGACCACTGAGCCTTTGTAAGCCAATGCTCCAGTGATCTCCAGTGTGGGCAACACTGATCGATTGAGCTCAGCTCCAGCCTAGTTGACTAAGACCCCTATTCTTGGCGCCGAGGAATGCGCAGATGTCAGGCACCACGGCTACCCTAGCAGTCCACGACCACCGCAGCGATCAGATCACTGTGCCTGGGCTCTTGACGTGTCGAAGCGCGCCGTGATTAAGCCGTGAATGCGCCGTGACGCGAAGCGCCGTTGTGTGTCGGGCGGTGATTGGACTGGAGAAAGGCTTTTGGAGATAGGAATGTCCGGGGAACTCCCTGTGGCCAACCACAGATTTGTGCTACTATGTGCTATTTGATTTCAACGATTGCATAGTATACACAAAAATATCTACCCATCATCAGTTCCCTTGTCGCAGATCTCGCGTCCTATTCTAGGGGGAATCTACTGCTTGCTTTTTTCAGGGCCGGAGTCGGAGCTTTGTTTTTGTGTCTCCCTGCATTGCCGACGTGCAGGGAGCCACGAGCGATTTTGGGTGAAAAGCCACAGACTGGTGACAAGTGCAATCAACAGGCTTGGAAGGAAGACATGCTGGTGGACACGAGGAATTCCCAGATCACCAGCGAATTGGACAGTAAAGTGTTATTCCGAAAAGGCTTGTACCGAAACGGATGGGTTTTGAATCTCGCCGTCTCTCTTTGAATCTTAGACAGACTGAACCAGACGGCGGGTCACTCAGGTGGGCCACGTGGCGGATAGCACCGCGGTGCTGGGCACGAAAAACAGCAGCAGTTGGGAAGGAGTGGCCTTGACCCGCGATCATAAGCCCAACTTGAAGGATGAGAAAGCTCGCCCCTCGGCTGGTGAAGGTATTCTAACTATGTCTGATGCTTTTGACGTGGTTTATATGGTTTGGAAAAGAGACGCTAAGCCCAGGAGGTGACAAAGACAGAAGAGAGGTCAGAAAGACCTTTCTGGAATCAACAACATGGTG